TTCACCACAGTGATGTCGTGATGTTGACGTTGTAATCAACAGTAGATACTGGTCCACCACGGTAATGTCGTGATGGCGACCTTGTAATCAGCAGTAGATACTGGTCCACCACAGTAATGTCGTGATGGCGACCTTGTAATCAGCAGTAGATACTGGTTCACCACAGTGATGTCGTGATGGCGACCTTGTAATCAGCAGTAGATACTGGTCCACCACAGTAATGTCGTGATGGCGACCTCGTAATCAGCAGTAGATACTGGTCCACCACAGTAATGTCGTGATGGCGACCTTGTAATCAGCAGTAGATACTGGTTCACCACAGTGATGTCGTGATGTCGTGATGTTGACGTTGTAATCAACAGTAAGTACTCGTTCACCACAGTGATGTCGTGATGTTGACGTTGTAATCAACAGTAGGTACTCGTTCACCACAGTGATGTCGTGATGTCGACCTTGTAATCAACAGTAGATACTGGTTCACCACTGTATCCACCTTGAAATCAACAGTAGATACTGGTTCACCACTGTGTCGACCTTGTAATCAACAGTAGATACCGGTTCACCACTGTGTCGATCGTCTAATCAACAGTAGATACTGGTTCACCACTGTGTCGACCTTGTAATCAACAGTAGATACTGGTTCAGCACTATGTCGACCTTGTAATCAACAGTAGATACTGGTTCACCACTGTGTCGACCTTGTAATCAACAGTAGATACTGGTTTACCACTGTGTCGACCTTGTAATCAACAGTAGATACTGGTTCACCACAGTGATGTCGTGATGTCGACCTTGTAATCAGCAGGAGATATTGGTCCACCACAGTAATGTCGTGATGGCGACCTTGTAATCAGCAGTAGATACTGGTCCACCACAGTAATGTCGTGATGGCGACCTTGTAATCAGCAGTAGATACTGGTTCACCACAGTAATGTCGTGATGGCGACCTCGTAATTAGCAGTTCATACTGGATCACCACAGTGATGTCGTGATGTTGACGTTGTAATCAACAGTAGATACTGGTCCACCACAGTGATGTCGTGATGGCGACCTTGTAATCAACAGTAGATACTGGTCCACCACAGTAATGTCGTGATGGCGACCTCGTAATTAGCAGTTGATACTGGTTCACCACAGTGATGTCGTGATGTTGACGTTGTAATCAACAGTAGATACTGGTCCACCACAGTAATGTCGTGATGGCGACCTTGTAATCAGCAGTTGATACTGGTTCACCACAGTAATGTCGTGATGGCGACCTTGTAATCAACAGTAGATACTGGTTCACCACAGTGACGTCGTGATGTCGACCTTGTAATCAGCAGTAGATACTGGTTCACCACAGTGACGTCGTGATGTTGACGTTGTAATCAACAGTAAGTACTCGTTAACCACAGTGATGTCGTGATGTCGACGTTGTAATCAACAGTAGGTACTCGTTCACCACAGTGATGTCGTGATGTCGACCTTGTAATCAGCAGTAGATACTGGTTCACCACTGTGTCCACCTTGTAATCAAGAGCAGGTACTGGTTCACCACTGTGTCGACGTTGTAATCAACAGTAGATACTGGTTCACCACAGTGATGTCGTGATGGCGACCTTGTAATCAACAGTAGATACTGGTTCACCACAGTGATGTCGTGATGTTGACGTTGTAATCAACAGTAGATACTGGTCCACCACGGTAATGTCGTGATGGCGACCTTGTAATCAGCAGTAGATACTGGTCCACCACAGTAATGTCGTGATGGCGACCTTGTAATCAACAGTAGATACTGGTTCACCACAGTGATGTCGTGATGGCGACCTTGTAATCAACAGTAGATACTGGTTCACCACATTGATGTCGTGATGTTGACGTTGTAATCAACAGTAGATACTGGTCCACCACGGTAATGTCGTGATGGCGACCTTGTAATCAGCAGTAGATACTGGTCCACCACAGTAATGTCGTGATGGCGACCTTGTAATCAGCAGTTGATACTGGTTCACCACAGTGATGTCGTGATGTTGACATTGTAATCAACAGTAGATACTGGTCCACCACAGTAATGTCGTGATGGCGACCTTGTAATCAGCAGTAGATACTGGTTCACCACAGTGATGTCGTGATGTTGACGTTGTAATCAACAGTAGATACTCGTTCACCACTGTGATGTCGTGATGTCGACGTTGTAATCAACAGTAGGTACTGGTTCACCACATTGACGTCGTGATGTCGACGTTGTAATCAACAGTAGATACCGGTTCGCCACTGTGTCCACCTTGTAATCAAGAGTAGGTACTGGTTCACCACTGTGTCGACCTTGTAATCAACAGTAGATACTGGTTCACCACAGTGATGTCGTGATGTCGACCTTGTAATCAACGGTAGATATTGGTTCACCACAGTGATGTCGTGATGGCGACCTTGTAATCAACAGTAGATACTGGTCCACCACAGTGATGTCGTGATGGCGACCTTGTAATCAGCAGTAGATACTGGTCCACCACGGTAATGTCGTGATGGCGACCTTGTAATCAGCAGTAGATATTGGTTTACCACAGTGATGTCGTGTTGGCGACATTGTAATCAACAGTAGATACTGGTCCACCACAGTAATGTCGTGATGGCGACCTTGTAATCAACAGTTGATACTAGTTCACCACAGTGATGTCGTGATGTTGACGTTGTAATTAACAGTAGGTACTCGTTCACCACAGTGATGTCGTGATGTGACGTTGTAATCAACAGTAGATACCGGTTCACCACTGTGTCGACCTTGCAATCAACAGTAGATACTGGTTCACCACAGTGATGTCGTGATGGCGACCTTGTAATCAGCAGTAGATACTGGTTCACCACAGTGATGTCGTGGTGTCGATCTTGTAATCAACGGTAGATATTGGTTCACCACAGTGATGTCGTGATGGCGACCTTGTAATCAGCAGTAGATACTGGTCCACCACAGTGATGTCGTGATGGCGACCTTGTAATCAGCAGTAGATACTGGTCCACCACGGTAATGTCGTGATGGCGACCTTGTAATCAGCAGTAGATACTGGTCCACCACAGTGATGTCGTGATGGCGACCTTGTAATCAGCAGTAGATATTGGTTCACCACAGTGATGTCGTGATGGCGACATTGTAGTCAACAGTAGATACTGGTCCACCACAGTGATGTCGTGATGGCGACATTGTAATCAACAGTAGATACTGGTCCACCACAGTGATGGCGTGATGGCGACCTTGTAATCAACAGTAGATACTGGTCCACCACAGTAATGTCGTGATGGCGTCCTTGTAATCAACAGTAGATACTGGTCCACCACAGTAATGTCGTGATGTCGACCTTGTAATCAACAGTAGATACTGGTTCACCACAGTGATGTCGTGATGGCGACCTTGTAATCAACAGTAGATACTGGTCCACCACATTAATGTCGTGATGTCGACCTTGAAATCAACAGTAGATACTGGTCCACCACAGTAATGTCGTGATTGCGACCTTGTAATCAACAGTAGATACTGGTCCACCACAGTGATGTCGTGATGGCGACCTTGTAATCAGCAGTAGATTCTCGTTCACCACAGTGATGTCGTGATGGCGACCTTGTAATCAACAGTAGATACTGGTTCACCACAGTAATGTCGTGATGTCGACCTTGTAATCAGCAGTAGATACTGGTTCACCACAGTGATGTCGTGATGTCGACCTTGTAATCAGCAGTAGATACTGGTTCACCACAGTATTGTCGTGATGGCGACCTTGTAATCAGCAGTAGATACTGGTCCACCACAGTAATGTCGTGATGGCGACCTTGTAATCTGCAGTAGATACTGGTTCACCACAGTGATGTCGTCATGGCGACCTTGTAATCAACAGTAGATACTGGTTCACCACAGTGATGTCGTGATGGCGACCTTGTAATCAACAGTAGATACTGGTTCACCACAGTAATGTCGTGATGGCGACCTTGTAATCAGCAGTAGATACTGGCTCACCACAGTGATGTCGTTATGGCGACCTTGTAATCAACAGTAGATACTGGTTCACCACAGTAATGTCGTGATGACGACCTTGTAATCAGCAGTAGATACTGGTTCACCACAGTAATGTCGTGATGGCGACCTTGTAATCAGCAGTAGATACTGGTTCACCACAGTGATGTCGTTATGGCGACCTTGTAATCAACAGTAGATACTGGTTCACCACAGTAATGTCGTGATGACGACCTTGTAATCAGCAGTATATACTGGTTCACCACAGTGATGTCGTGATGTTGACGTTGTACTCAACAGTAGGTACTCGTTCACCACAGTGATGTCGTGATGTCGACGTTGTAATCAACAGTAGATACTGGTTCACCACAGTGATGTCGTGATGTCGACGTTGTTATTAAAAGTAGATACTGGTTCACCCCAGTGATGTCGTGATGGCGACCTTATGAACACCACGATAGAAATGTTCACCGATCTAGCATAGTGACAACATTTTAATATGATCAACGTTTTCCCGAGTCTCCCACTCCTACCACAGACCACCCTGAACATAGAAGGGTCACACGGAGGTTCCATGGGATTGACTTGAATTTAAATCACAAACAACGGCTTAAAAACTGCATGGAAACGTCTGTTAGTAGACTGCATTCACTGGTACAGGAAGTGTATTATCGTCAGGTGTATGCGTTTGACTTTTTACAGCCCATCTATACAAAACACTTTCTTTAGAAGTCCGTGTATGCAGAGCGGGACATTATGTACAAAAACATGAAGCGAACATGGATTTCTAGAGCATCTGTATCTAAATATCGGGTGGTCAGTGTGGTCAGTGTGGTCAGTGTGTTCTAGTTGATGAAAGTCACACGCTGTGAACAGTTTCATGTAGCAATAAACAGTCACCACCATGAATATGTACATATGAGTAAAACCTGGAAGATTCGGCATGAATATTCATTCGTCACCGCCGTCATCAGCGTGTAGCCTGTACTTCTAAATAGTTTATCTGTCGCGAATGTTATCATTAATCCTCCCACCAACCCGATATAGTTTTGTGATGGCACACAGTGCTTGCTGCTGCTATTAGTATTGATTCGCACATTTCGTGAAGCCCCGCTCTCTAATTTATTGAATACACATCCCATCTCTGGAGCGAGGCAGCCTGTGTCTCTGCTCGGTTGTAGCGCTACCTTCACCCCGGCGCATTCAGCCAGAGGAATATCATTGAACTCTTATCAAAAGCCTCTGCCTTCCACCTAGGGCAGTTCTCGCCGACTGGTCCTTGTGTCGGTTGTGTATAGGACTATAAGTATGGATAACCCGCCACTCTCCGGGCAACACACGGTAAGTCTTGTCTATTTCAACCTCAAGCTTGTCTATTTCAACCTCAAGCTGTTATTCCACTGATCCTGTGTTCGGAACGGACTAGCTCTGCTCCATGGACAGTTTGCTCATTGAAATATGATCATCCGTAGCCGAAAGCATGTTGAAATGTACACTTGCAGATTTCATGGTTTTGGGTAGTGTTAGGTTCCGATTTACTCTCATGTAACATATTTGAGTCATTTTGCCCTGTAGGTATGCATGTAATACAATACTGGATGCGAACGCTTCTACAAAACCATGCTGTTTCCGTAGACTGTATGAAAGTGACATCTGTTGTGTATTTCAAAGCTGGACACAAAATGAAGGGAAAGTGTGTCTATCTGATATGCATAATGTATGGAAACATGACAGTCGGCACGAAATTGAGGGACTTCTAGCGGAACCGTCGGACGTCTTTCTGTCTTCTATTAACGGACTATTGCCTTAGTTAAAGATGCAATAATCACACAGAACGCCGTATCTCCGTGAAATTTAACCCAAATGTGGGAGAAATTAAACTGGTGGATTTTTGTTTCGATCAACAGTGGGTGCCGGGCTTGAAACTGACAAACAAGTGCAGCTATTGATCATAAATCACTGACATCTCGGTACCAAGTCAAAAAATAATGTGCCACAGAAAGATCAAGCGTGCCTTTACGTAAGCAACTGTATTTGTTCCTGTCATCTCTCAAGGAAATAGACAAGCACTCCCACCGAGAGTGACAACCCTGTTGCTAAAATTGATCTCAAATATCGAAAGATCACGTCCTCTCCCGAGTATCAATAGATGCCCAAGCATCGAGATTCCCGAATCGATTTCACCCTCAACAAGCGCCTGAAATTGACAGCCTTCTAAAACGAAATTTTACATTAATTTCGTGACTTAACGCGTACGCGAAGGGCCCAGCTTGCGGGATCACTTTGTGATGTTTGCCAGCTTTCAGCACTGTGTTGACCATAATGAGATTTTCTCTCTTTTGTATTTACAAATCTCACACGTTTTAACGACCAGACACACATTGTTTGAGAACTGGAGATGTAAATTTCATTTATTTACATGCCATTACATGTTATTACAAACACTCCCCGACTGTCAGCCTCCTTCACACAGTGTTCAGGATTGATTTCCTTTATGAGATGAGTGTCATCCAGAGCACATAGGAATATTAACACACCATAACGGTCGCCTGAAGAACACTGGGATGTAAGGAGTAATAGCCATCCGTAGCTGTCACCAGTGTCCCCATACATTCACTCAGCCATTCAACAAACACGGTATTAAATGTGGTTTATGTGAGTGTGTAGCGATACGACCAGGTATGAGATGAACACGTGTATGTTGATGGTGCACGTCCCGTACAGCTGCATCAGCTGACGTATGCACCATATGCCTGTCACTGAAACATACATGTGTTCATTTCATGTTAACGATCTCGACATGCGATAAGTGTATATTCCGTGTAGGTGACCTGAGACACTATCGATTGTAAAACGCGTTGATATTTGAAGAAAAAACAAATGTTCAAATAATTGTTATTTTCCAGGTTATTCAACCGCGTCATCCGATTTATGTATGGAATGACACATGTATGTTCTGTGACGTTACTGGGCTGCATGTAACACAGGATGTACGTATTACAACATGTCAAAGTCTACAAGTGATATACACCAGGATATCACTGATAATGTAACTGTATCTCCATCCATGCAGTGATGTTGTTCACACCTAGTTGTTGCTGATACTATACTAGGTGTCCACTGTTCTTTGTTCAAGTATCAGCACGGAACATACCTTGATAAATAACATACATGTTTTGGCTTATGGAGTTCATCCAATCTGTAATGGCTTGTTGAGTCAGTGCTGACATGTTATACTATCCACACTTTGCTAAGGATTAAATCATGGATTCAACAGAAAATGTGGGGTCAAATTTGGTTTAAATATCTAAGCTTATTGTAAGCATGGTTCCTAGGTTTCAGTTTGTCATTTCATCTTGTGGATCCCATACCTGCTATTGACAGGTGTTGGGTACTTGTCAATGACTCGTTCCATGATTTGCAAAATGGTAGATTGGTGCCATGAAAACAATTTCTATGGTTATTCATGTATCAAGTGCATAAGGTTAGATTAAAGTGACTGTTTGCCTAAAGAGGGGTTACCATATTATTATTTATCCAATTTAAAATGGATACAATTTCAAATTATATATCTACGTTTAAGTAAAGTTGTGAATTTTTGTGATCCTTAGCAAAGTGTGAGTAGTATATTTATGAACTTGGCATTTTAGTGTTGAAATACATATGTAACAGCTTAACTGCTGGCAGAAGGGAGCGATGCCTGACTTCATCACAGCTAACATATGTATCAAATTTGGGAATATGGCATGTAAGTAAGCATTCCATGGGCAGTAGTTGTACTCCCGTCTTGTGGATTTGTTCTTCGTGAATATTTGTTCAAATTTCTGCTCGGACTGTTGAAATCCAAATAATGGAATTTTGGGGGAAATAATTTAATGGCATGTTCGATTATGGTCACATACACCGATTCTCTTCATTTGAGTCACCCGTCTGAACCAGATCACCAGAGCGATGGTTTCAACTTTGCTAAAGTCAACTTCTCCTTTACGATGAGCAGCATCTCAACAGCTATAGCTGTGTCTATATTCCACATGGTTTTAGATACAATCCAGCGTGCGCTATCTGTGATTACGAATCACGACATAAATTTCTTACCCTACAGTGGTTTAATCAGGGATACACATCAAGGTTGTATGTAGCTTTCAAAAAATGTCCATGGCACTAAGCATATAGAGTGCATTTCAAAAGTTCACGTGTCGGTGATTAAACTGATGTCAGATCTAATTCACTACTTAAACGTGTACCTTATGTTGTTGCTGTGTTAGATCAGACAACAGTTGTTTTGTCTTTCCATGTGCTTGTGACTGGCGCCACAATAGGTGTTAGATCAGACAACAGTTGTTTTGTCTTTCCATGTGCTGTTTTGTATTTCCATGTGCTTGTGACGGGTGCCACAATAGGTGTTAGATCAGACGACAGTTGTTTTGTCTTTCCATGTGCTTGTGACGGGTGCCACAATAGGTGTTAGATCAGACAACAGTTGTTTTGTTTTCCCATGTGCTTGTGACGGGTGCCACAATAGGTGTTAGATCAGGCGACAGTTGTTTTGTCTTCCCATGTGCTTGTGACGGGTGCCACAATAGGTGTTAGATCAGACAACAGTTGTTTTGTATTTCCATGTGCTTGTGACGGGTGCCACAATAGGTGTTAGATCAGACGACAGTTGTTTTGTCTTTCCATGTGCTTGTGACGGGTGCCACAATAGGTGTTAGATCAGGCGACAGATGTTTTGTCTTCCCATGTGCTTGTGACGGGTGCCACAATAGGTGTTAGATCAGGCGACAGATGTTTTGTCTTCCCATGTGCTTGTGACGGGTGCCACAATAGGTGTTAGATCAGACAACAGTTGTTTTGTATTTCCATGTGCTTGTGACGGGTGCCACAATAGGTGTTAGATCAGACAACAGTTGTTTTGTCTTCCCATGTGCTTGTGACGGGTGCCACAATAGGTGTTAGATCAGGCGACAGATGTTTTGTCTTCCCAAGTGGTGCACCATTAAATGCCGGTACAGCACCAAGTCGATCTGCTGGATGGATACAGCGTCAGTGACGGCAGTGATTCTGTGACACGCACATGAGACATCTCTAACAGGCCCTGCAATTTTTGTTACGTCGAATAAACTTCAAACATGTATATGAATTATAGGTGTTCATAAAGAGAAACGATCACCAATCAAAGTCTGTTCCCTCAACGATCATGCTACAGATCAAACTACAATGACTCAGTTAACACATACGCAAGTCTTGTCTCAGATACAAAGATGCAATGTGTCCTCTAGTTCCGCCACAGAGAGTGGCCATGTTTCACACATATCTCCTATTACAATGTCTGTCCATGGATGGTAATGTCTTCAAGGCCATAGGTCATAGTCCCTCACTGTGTAATTTGCGTCATTAATTTCAGGACAAGTTTTTCAAATTGATAATTAAGATGTTCAACTTTCCAAAATTACCTACAGCGCTATCAATAGATTAAATTAGCTGTTGTATAATAATTAATGAACTGACGATATTTCATTGGCAATTACATTTAATCCAATATGTATTAAATTGCGTCCATAAATATTTGCTGTCAATTATGACGCGCCAACAGTCACTGCGCAGAGTTGACGATGTGAAATGCAGTTGTCTCGGCTTCTCAGGTTTAACCCTGGTTATGCCTTTTGGTCTGTTGGCACCATGACTGACACATGAGTTATAGTTATTATACCATGCCTCACTTCAGGCTGATCCCTATCATTTAGCTGACACGCCGTGGTATCACTGTCACACTGGTGAAAGAGAATCCCAATCAGTGCACTTACACAATCTGATTTCTCATGCTTATGCATGGCGTCATTTTATTTGTGTGTGAGAGAGAAGCGTTAAGACTTGTATTGTGATCACATCCCCAGTCAGAGAATCGTTAAGACTTGTATGGTGATCACATCAACTGTGAGAGAAGCGTTACGACGTATATGGTGATCACAACACCAGTGAGAGAAGCGTTAAGACTTGTATGGTGATCATATCAACAGTGAGAGAAGCGTTAAGACTTGTATGGTGATCACATCAACAGTGAGAGAAATGTTAAGACTTGTGTGGTGATCACATCAACTGTGAGAGAATCGTTAAGACTTGTATGGTGATCATATCAACTGTGAGAGAATCGTTAAGACTTGTATGGTGATCACATCAACAGTGAGAGAAATGTTAAGACTTGTATGGTGATCACATCAACTGTGAGAGAATCGTTAAGACTTGTGTGGTGATCACATCAACTGTGAGAGAATCGTTAAGACTTGTATGGTGATCACATCACCAGTCAGAGAAGCGTTAAGACTTGTATGGTGATCACATCA